GTGCACACAAACATGCACACACACACCAACCAACACATCCCAGAGTCATTAAAAAGCAAATTCCATTTTTACTGTGGCAGTGCCTGTACTCTGAATATGAGATGTCCACCGCAGGAAGCAGTCACATTTCCTGTGTGTGTTGCTTTGTTATGTAGTTATCACTGTATTATGTGAAAAGTCTTACTTCAGAGCTTGTAACGTCAAGAACATCCCCTTCTCTGAGCATGCTAGGATTACAACTGAACATTAAAATCAGACTTTATATTCCCCAAACATTCTCCTGTTTGTTTCTCTTTCACTGTACCACCACCATCACACACAAATGCATACGTGCACAAATAGAAAAAAAACTTCATTCACCCACATACTTTCTTACTCAAGCAGTCTGTTTACATAAAGTACATGCAGCCTCATGAGACCAATCCAGCCAAGAGCAGGAAATCAGAAAGGTGAGGTAAGGGGAGGATCTTTAAGATCTTTCCCTCTATTTTCTATAATTTGTCTTGTGATGGCAGGTAGACAACAGGAGGAAGAAAATGCCAGGAAAGTACATGCACAAACAGATAAGTGTTCTGTGTTCAAGGCATGATTCTAAAAAGTATTGTTTGAGGTCAGAGATGTTGCTGCTTATGAACCATATTTCCCCATGTCACTACAGTTTGCTTTATTTTATTTGGTTTGTTCTCAAAGCCATGTAAATGACCAGCAATTTCTGACCCTAAAACTTTATTTAAATCAATGATTCCAGACTTTGAATTTATGATATCATGTGATTGATTTAATTTTGTAACAGGACTGCTGTCTTTAAAATTTTAAATATTTATGCTTTTACTTATATTGCACAATATTCCTTAAGTTAGTCTTAGGTATCTATGTTTTTTTAAAAAAAAGTCAACTTGGAATCTTCCACTTCAGCCATATCTATAACAGAACACAGTATTATTTCTACCTTTATTTGAAAATTAAGAATTGCATATATTTTGTAGTCTCCATTAACAGATATTGAGGAAAGGTAGTGTATCATTATTTGCTGGGCTTCCAGTGCAAGTATAGCTCTTTTACATTTCAATACTTTAGGGAACCTGACTTTAGTCCAGTAAAACACTTTATGCCATCCTAGCAGAAACACTGCTATTATTTGTAGTGACTTACCTATTAAGGCAACCAAATTGATAATAATGAAAGCTAGTACATAGAGAATGTAGTATGTGTACTGTGAGGCTATAAAATACATAATTTTTGTATAGCAAATAAAAGTATAAATAATACTGTGTTCTATAGATGTGACAGAGGCAGAAAATTTCACACTGATTTTTTTTTTTTGATGTGGACTATTTTTAAAGTCTTTATTGAATTGGTTACAATATTGCTTTTGTTTTATAGTTTGATTTCTTGGCCAGGAGGCATGTGGGATCTTAGCTCACTAATCCGGGGTCAAAGCCACATACCCTGCACAGGAAGGTGAAGTCTTAACCACTGAACTGCCAGGGAAGTCCCACACTGATTTTTTAAAAATATATAAACAAGTTGCTCTAGGATTAACAGAATTGTGGCATATATATGTCCTAAGCAATTTTCATATATTAACTCACTTTTTGTAGTACTCATGGAAATTCTAAGGCATAAATACTGCCTTTATTTGCTGAACAAGCATACAGAGGCCCAGGGATGTTAAATAGTGTGCCCTTCCTCATCCTCTTTAACAAGGTGTAAAACACAGCCGGTCTAGTGGTCAGGCCTGGCAGTCTGGCTTATGCTATACTCTTTCCCACTGCAATTATCTATGTGTTTCTTGTTTCTTTGCATGGAGTACTTTCTTTGCCATGAAAAGTACCTTTCTTTAATAATAAACATTTTTAACACTTTAAAAAAATAACTTCTACTAAAAAGTTTCCTATTTTAGTACAGTTTGGTAATAGTTTTTCTTGAATATGTTTGTTCAAAGTCCTGAAACTTATAGCTAAATTCATCAGAAATTAGTAGCAAAATGAACAGCCCTTTCAGGTATCAACATTGACTTCGCAACACCTGTCAAAAGATACTCTTTCGCAAGTTATGGTTAGTTTTTCCTGATATATCCATACCACAACACCAGGTATATCCAAGTTAGATTAATTTCCTCATCACCCCTCTCAGTGGGTGTCACAGGAAATTTTCAACCTTGCCGATGATAATGACACTAAGAGACAGCCAGAGGATACTTACAGTTCTTTTACTCATCAAAATAAGAGTTAATATGGTTTAGTGAGTCTGCTGTAAGGCTTCAGAATTTTAAGATTTGGGTTTTCCAGTTTTCTACATAGATTAATAGATTATCACTTGCAATAAACTACATTATACCAGATAACTGCATCTAAACTAGCAGGAATTAGTGTATAATCCTATAAGGGCTCTTAGGAAGAAGTTTCTATTTTTGGATATATCTTATTGATTTGACATTTTCTTCATAAAATTAGATTAATAAAGAGTCTTGTGAAAGGTTATCATCCGAATGTCCCATATTTCTCTCATTGTTAGACTACGTTGTGTTCTTTTGTCACTAATAAAATTTTTGGTCATATTTACTAATGTAATACGCACTTCAGTTCACAAGTACACCCTAGGCATGATGTATAAAGAATGGATGTCAGAGTTTGATGACAAGAGGTATTTGTACAAGGACAACCTCAGGATTTGTTAGAGTCATTTACAAGTGATACCTCACCTTATAAAATGTGGCAAAAGGAAAACAACACACATGGTATAAAGATGATAATAAACATTATTCTTTAGAAGCAATTCCAAATATATATATATATATATATATATGCTTTATACATAATAACTTTTGTTGTCATAAATTCATCTGCATTAGCCCAACATCTAGGACTTTAACCAGCTTTTATGTTCAGCTGATTTTAAGTGAAGTTTTTCCTGACATAGTCCTTCTTTGTATTGTAGACATATAGCTCTGAGCCATCAATGTCAGTTCCAGGGTATAATTAGGAACTGTGACAATTTTATCTGTGAAAAGCTTTATAGAATTTTCAATATTAATATTATTTCCAGGTTTATTAGACATTACTGTAATTTCTACTTTCTTTTGACCTTGATTTCTGTTTAACGAAGCTGTTCTTCCCTCACAATTTGGGGCTAGTTCAGATTCTTAGGACACTTGGTTCCTTCTTCCCTCCCATTTGAAAATTATACATTGAAAACTACTACTTTCATGGCTGTTTTCTTCTAAAAGCAGTGGTTCATAATTGAGGCAGATTTCCCCTCATAGAAATTCACAGCTGCAAGAACGTCCTCTTTCCCAGTGGGTTAGTAAATAGGCTTTTGTGAGAATTCTCTATTGGAATATTTCTCTTGATTAAAGGGTCAAAGACTGAGAGTCTGTTGTTCTTGGTGCTAAAAGAACCAACCACCTGCAGCTGGGCATTGAACACTTTGGAAATGCAGAACTTAGTCTTCATTTTTGTAATGAGTAGCTTGAAAGCAACAATTTTTCTTAAAAAACTAAATTCAGACATGACCTTTAGACCAAATTAGATTTTAATAGTGAATGCATTGAGGCATGCAGTCAAAATACTGATAGGCTGCATTCCCTAAACAGTGTAGCTTTATGCAGCCTATTAATAACAGCATACACATATTTAACTGGCAAATGTGATTGCCGTGCCTACTAGTCTCGTTTATTCCCCTTTATTGTTCCACTTGATTAATCACCCTGTACATAAAAGTCCCAATATTTGGGGAAAATGTATCCCTGCTGTAGGAAATCATCCCTCGCAAGTCCAAGTCCTGTCAACTTTCTCACTGGCTTGCCCGCTTCCATTCTCCTCTGGTTACCTATTGTATGTAGTGGGAGGTTAAGAGCACGCATGGGGAAGCTAACTTACTTGGATTTAAAATTCTGGCCCTGCTATAGCTGCATGGCCTTGACTGTGCTATTTGTTTAATCTGTTGCCTCTGTTTCTGTCTGCAAAACGAGCATTACTATACCTCCAGGGTTGTTCCAAGGATTAGTTAACATAAAGTTCCTTAAAATAGTTGGTGTGCTGTTAAATGCTAAATAGGCAACTCTCACAAAATAAATCAGATACTGCTCCTTTGGACAGCTTCCTCCTAAAGATCCTCACACTTGAAAAATAAAATCTGACCTCCTATCCAAGTGCCTATAAGCTTGCTCTGATCTCATCCCCCATTTCTCTGTTGGCTCTATTCCTGCTACATAAGCCTGTCCCCAGAGACACTAAGCAGTTCTGCTTCAAGGCCTTTGCACTTGTAATTCCCTCTTCCTGGAATTCCCTTCCAGAATTTTGCATTGCTCCCTCACTTGGGTAGTTGCTCAAAAATTCAGAGGCCTTTTCCGTGCACACACCCAACACATGTATCCTCATTCTCTAGTCCCTTGCCCCGTTTTCTTTGTAGCATTTATCACCACTGACATTATATTGTTGTTCAGTGTCTTTCTTTCCTAACAGGAGTGTAAACTGAGCAGAGAGATTTTATTTTGGTCATTCCTGTAGTCCTGCATCTAGACCACTTGGCATTGGTAGAGCTTAGTAAATACTTGTGGGAAGAGTGGAGTTAAAAAACAAATCCCAAGTTAGAGAACAGTATTTGTACCCTGAGGACTGACTTTAACTTATTATATTTTTTTTTTGTACTGTGCACCTAACATTCCCTACTCCCATACCTTCACTTTAATCCAGGCTGTCTCACCAGGCTGCCACTCACTTTAGATTGGGTTTTCAGGATAAACATGAAGATTAGATTCCTATATGCAAAGCAAAAGGTAAACAAACACAAGATTGGTGACCTTGTTTTCAGACAGAAACACTAAATGCTGTGTAGTAAACTGAAGTCTATACTTAGCCAGGTTTTTTGAACATTATTTTTAATGACACAGCTACCTATAAAGACCTATGAAGATTTCAGGTCAGATTATGAATAGGTAGTACTTTGTGACTAAAGCATACATACTTTCAATTAGTTTTTTCTTTTCTTTTTTGCAGGTTAATGACTACAGACAGTGAGATCAGATTTGTCCACAAGGAGATGGGCATAATACCAAGCTGGGGCGGTGCCACCCGGCTGGTTGAGATCATCGGCAGTAGAGAAGCTCTCAAAGTATTAAGTGGGGCCCTTAAGCTGGATTCAGAAAAAGCATTACGCATAGGAATGGTGGAGGACATCCTGCAATCTTCAGACGAAACTGAATGTCTCCAAGAAGCACAAGAGTGGCTACAGCAGTTTATCAAAGGGCCACCAGAAGTAATCAGAGCTTTGAAAAAATCTGTTTCTTCATGCAAAGAGCTTTGTTTAGAGGACGCATTACAGAGCGAGAGAGATCTTCTAGGAACACTTTGGGGGGGACCAGCAAATTTAGAGGCTGTTGCTAGGAAGGGAAAGTTTAATAAATAATTTTTAAAAATACGTAAGTAAGTAAAGTCGCTCAGTCGTCTCTGACTCTGCGACCCCATGGACTATATCCTACCAGGCTTCTCCCACAGGATTTTCCAGGCAAGAGTACTGGAGTGGGTTGCCATTTCCTTCTCCAGGGGATCTTCCGCACCCAGGGATGGAACCAGGTCTCCCGCATTGCAGACAGACGCTTTACCGTCTGAGCCACCAGGAAGTCTTAAAAACACACACTGCAAGTTAAGACCCCAGCGATTAGTATGTGTAAAAGCCGAGTGGCGTCAGAGCTGCTCAGAAGGTGGTGGTTGTGTTTGTCATATTAGTGTAACAACTGTTCGACTGAACTCAGTTGGTCTAATTTTCAGTTTATTCAGGTAGTTGCTAAGTGATTTTGAATCTCTTAACTAAAATACACAACACTTTTGGCTTAAACATAATCATTAATTCCCAGATTCCCATGATAGTTATTAGGCTATAACCAAAGGCTAGTTTTTAGGAAAAACTACACAAAACCTATTCCTGGTGTTCTTTCTCATGAAGTATTTGTCTTGTCTTAACCTGGAAGTAATTTACAAAAATAATATAATGAAGCTTAGAGAACAAAAGTGGAAAGGGGTAGGGGGACAGGAAGATATGTAGTTATGATTAGTCCTTTCTTCTGTTCCATGCAGCTGCATTAAAGAAGTCATGGACTTCTTTTAAGGATGCTCCTCACCCCACCCTTCTACAAATTTGGACCTTATTTGATCTTTTAAATAATTGCTAGATTTTTATTTTTGGTTATCTACGAAACAATGGCCACCATACAAAAAGTCTGACTCTACACAATTGGCCAGTTGATTTGTATGCACCAGAATTTCCAAGCTAGCAGTTACTATAGTTTATGTAGTAATCACTTTTCTTTGATCAGAGGCTCATGAAGCATCGTGTTACACATGAATCAGATTTTTTTTTTTCTGAGAAGTAGCTATCTTCTAGGTGTATTTAAAAGTAAATTTAATAATAATGGATGATAGACTTTTATGATCTTAGTAATACAGACTTAAAAAAAAAATCTAAGTCAAAGAATTAAGTCCTAATCTTATCACAAGAGGTAAAAGGTAATTTTATTAAAGTAGTGACAGTTTATATTTACTATTGTAATATTCAATTCACATTTGATAAACTGTACTAAAGACAACTTGCACATGCTTCATCAACATAATCTTGCTGTTTTGATTTAGGAAAATATAGAAGATAAACTCATGTTACTTTTCTGCAGAATCAAATTCTGGATTACCAAATTAACCCAGTATTTCCAACCTTGCTGTAGATTCTACAACATTCTGTGTTGAGTCAGTTTGTGTCTACTAATGCTGTTTAGAAATAAACCTACCATTTAAATCATATTGGTGCTAGCCATTAATGAAGACTGGCAAGGAAAACCCAGTATATACATAGCCTCTACTATCAAGTTATTTAAGACAGGCTTTAGGTTTATTTCCACACATAATTATTCCATGAAAATTCCCTGGAGACTGTTTAAATATTCTCTATGAAGAAATCATACTTTTCTGAGCAAGTAACCATGTGAGCTGAATACAACCACCAATTCAAACCACCACCTTTTTAGTGACCTTTTGGCCACAAAAATGTTTCCATCCCCTTCCAGATTCAAACAAGAAACACACTGATAAATTCTAGTATTTATTAAATTATAAAGTCTGTAATCAAAAAAAAATGTGGATCAAGAGAAACCTCTAACTACAAGGACTAGATGGCAAAGCCTATGGGAACGCCATGAAGTGTGTTACAGACAAGATTCTGAAACATAAGTTATCAGCTGTTTTCTTTACATTTCCATTTCAGTAACCTTACTATTAAATAGTTGTTGTTCTATTTTAAAACCCCAAATTCACATTTGTTCTCACGTTAAGCTTTCTGTTCATACTGATACCAGACTTCTTGTAGGTGCCAAATTTTAGTAATGGTTTTATGTCAGTCCATGCAGAAAAATAGGAACAAATGCAGTAGTCAGATAAGGATCATTAACGCACAGATAATACACACACGCTGGCCAAAAGAACTGAAGGTATTTTAAAAAACTATAAAATAAACAGACCTCAAGAAAACTGGGTTATTACTAAATAGCTCTCAACTATTAACACCCAAGTTCCTTATATTAAATAAATTTCTCAACAGAGATGTGTTAGACATTTTAATTACAGGTCTATCCTTCCCATACCCTTTCCCACCCCAACTCCCAAAATGCACTACTAGGGATGAGTATAATGTTAACGTGGGCAGAAATTTACAGATAACCATTTTCATCTTGAGCATGGATCTGAAAACTTTTTTATTTAAACTTCGGTTACTGTGCACTGTCCATCAGGCCTTCGAGATCTGACACTCACTGTTCCACCCGCTGCCACTGATCGATCAGTTCCTGATCGATCAGATACTGTCTGATTTGGATTAGGAACCAGAAGTCTCTGTTGGGTCAAGGAGTGTTGTGCAACAAGCGCAGATACATCCTCACTATCACTACTGGCATCGGATTCGGTTTCTTCAATCGAAGTGTCTGGTGCTGGTACCCTGCCCGAAGATGGCGATTCGTGCTCTTCTTCTCCTTCCCCTCTATGACTCCTTTCCGTTATGCTGTCTCCACTGAGTTGTAAATGTGCAAAAGAGTCTTCCAGAGAAGTGCTTGCATCAGGGGATGGCGTGGCGGGGCTTGTTAGCTGACCATCTACTGACGTCAGGGGCCTCACAGAAGAAGACTGAACAGAAGCTCCGCTCTGAGCCGGTACACTGTCCGCTCCATCAGCAGAGCTCTCTCTTGCTAGGTTTACAGTATTAGCATCACAGTCCAGCCTAAGTCCGGCTACTCCCTTCTTTGGTATATCTATTATATCCCGCTTGATCTTCCTGCGACGTCCATGTTCGTTTCTCCTATACTGTACCATATTTTCAAGATCGGCAACATACAGAAACCCGGCAATTAACATTTCAGTGCTCTTTTTACCTTTGGAAAAAGCATCTTCCAGCTCTCTGCTAGTGCGCTCATCATACTGCCACCACCCATTTCTCCCTTCGTAATACCAGGCATATTCACCATTTCCTCTGCTTGCTGCTTTGAGTTCTTCCGGTGACAACAAGGTTGGCTTATCAAGGAAATCTTCGGGAATTTCTTGTCGACAGAGGGCACATCGCTTTCCAAGCCACGAAGCTCCCTTCACACATAGATAGCAGAAAACATGCTTACAAGGCAGACTGACTGGGTGAACACATGTCTGCAGACAAATGGCACACTCAGGGACAGTTAGAGAAGGTGCAGTATTAGAACAGGACTCATTTGCTTTCCTGTTCGTAGGAAGCATGTTTATAGAGTGATCAATTTCTCCACAGCCAGCCATCCTGAGAAAAATGAGAGAAAATAAGGCATAATATTAAAATCTTGTTCTAACTCTTTCAAAATCTTAATTCAACATTCAGAAAACACTTATTAAGCACCAATTATATGCAAGTCATGTCCTAGACAATGGGAACACGAAACTGAAAGAGAAAAAAAATATTTTTGATTTGAATTTATTCTTATTTGGGGGGGGCAGTGAGGCACAAATAAAAAGGTACAACCAAAGTACAGATTTGAAATAAATATGCCATTTTTATTCACAGAATAGAACTAAATGCAAAGATTTTAAAATGTACAACCCACTTAGACTTTTAAAATCAGTCTGGAAAGTAGAGAAAAACAAAAAAATGGTTAAAAATAATTCAGATTACAATCACAGAAAGTAAATTTTGGAGCCTTTTAGGACACCACTAAGTGCAATTGTGCAATACTTCCATGTATTAATGTACTTCTGGCAGTTGACAAGTAGACCATATAAAATGACTAGAGCTGAAATCCTAGACACCAGAGAAACTCCCTTTCTCTGCTGTGTAATCTTAAAAACACTGGTTAAAACCAGTCATCTCATTCCCCCTCTGTGAAACACCTTTTAGTGACCTTTTTTATTGTTGCTGGCTTTTTCTAAACCACACATACGTTCCTCTTGCTGTACTCTTTCAAGATGATCTCATCTACATTCATGGCTTCAATTATTACCAACTCCTAAACTGATAATCACCAGCCCAGGTCTTTCGTTTTAGCCCTAGAACTATCTTTTAATTGCCTACTTTAGTGCTCTTCTTGGCTGTCTTAAAGGGACAAAAACTGAATTTGTGATGTTTCCTCCTTATTTACTTACTCCCTAAATGCCCCTCTGGAGACACCTCTATTCATTTGCTTTTCAAGACAGAAATCCATCACTGAAGCTGTCCTCCTAACCCCTCCCCATTCAAAACATCAGCAAGTCTTAGATTTTATCTCCTAAATATCCCCTAAATCCAACTACAGACCATCTCTGCCCTTCCCAAGTCATCAAGTAAACACTATTAATGGGTCCGGCCTTATGTCTTGTTAAAAAGTTGGTTTCAGGTTAGAGACCAGGATCTATATTCCCTGCACAGTCTGTCTGGACGCCAGCTCCCATGCCAGCTTCATCTCACACCATGCTTCCTGGACTTCAGTTTTCTTATCAGTAAAATGTTTTGACTCAATTCCCTTTTCTAAGATCTAATACACGCTTGCCACACACTACATAATAAATACTTGCTAAACTGAATTTAGCTCCTCTCGTTTCTGTTTATTGGCAAAAGCTATACACATATTGTTCTCAGAAAAAAACTCTGAAAACAGTTGTAAGGCACTGACTAACTAGGTTTCATTCATCAGGTCCTACTGCTACATTTAAACCACAGAATAACTTGAAACATTCTATTAACAAAAAGAACTAAAATTAGCTAGAGAAAGGGTATACAATGTATTGTTTTGTCCCTTTCAATTAAAAAAAAGTCACTGTCAAAGAAATTCTGAAAAATTTTTTTTAAATTCCCACATTTCAGTTCAGTTCAGTCGCTCAGTCGTGTCTGACTCTTTGTGACTCCATGAATCAGCACTCCAGGCCTCCCTGTCCATCACCAACTCCCGGAGTTTATTCAAACTCATGTCCATCGAGTCAGTGATGCCATCCAGACATCTCATCCTCTGTCGTCCCCTTCTCCTCCTGCCCCCAATCCGTCCCAGCATCAGAGTCTTTTCCAATGAGTCAAGTCTTTGCATGAGGTGGCCAAAGTACTGGAGTTTCAGCTTTACCATCAGTCCTTCAGTGAACACCCAGGACTCATCTCCTTTAGGGTGAACTGGTTGGATCTCCTTGCAGTTCAAAGGACTCTCAAGAGTCTTTCCACATTTAAGGCCCAATTAAAAATAAGGAAGTCCTTCATCCACAAGTAATAATAATTTAACTGAGTAAGATGTTTGATTGTAAGACAAAATGTTTAAATGAGCTACTGCTCATCACTACTTTGGAAAAACAACAGCAACATCTCATATACAATAAGTCCATATCCTAAACGACCTAGGTAGCTTCCGGACAAAAGAAAGGCCAATAGATTTAAAAATTTTTTAAAGAAAAACAGAAGTCTAGTAAAATGTAAATAAAGTATCGAATAGTACAACCTGGATGAATGCCATACTTTTAAAACATAGTCTCAAACCCTGTTGTATTATAAGTAAAATTAACCCCAAATATCAATTTTCCATTAGATGCAGTTACCTTATCTATGAAAAAGAAAGTTTTCAACCTAAAAGCATTACTCTCCATCCTGACCAATACTCTTGTATGCATAAATAAATGTAAACGTATAATTAACAAAGTAAAAAAAAAAAAAAAGATAGCCATCCCAGAGGAAGACATGAACTGTGAAAGTAACATACTTGGAAACGCAAAACAATTCTTTTCGGGCAGATATTCTGGTTCTCTTATTAGAATGAGATAAAACTGGATAAACATCATCAGAAAACAGGTAGAAGATAGTTAAAGCTTCATTATTTTACCTAAAGAACTTTCAGTTATCAAGATCTCTTCAAAAAAGTTGAAGATATCAAGGGAACTTTTCATGCAAGGACAGGCATGAAGGGCAGAAACACTAAGGAGAACAGATCAGAAAGAGGCGGCAAGAATACACAGAGCTAGACAAAAAAAGTCTTAATGACCCAGATAACCACAATGGTGTGGTCACTCACCTAGAGCTGGACAACCTGGAGTGTGAAGTCAAGTAGGTCATACATAGAAAGCATTACTACGAACAAAACTAGTGAAGGTGATGGAATTCCAGCTGAGCTATTTCAAATCCTAAAGCTGATGCTGTTAAAAGTGCTGCACTCAGTATGTCAGCAAATTTGGAAAAGGTCAGTTTTCATTCCAATCCCAAAGAAGGGAAATGCCAAAGACTGTTCAAACTGCTATACAATTCTGCTCATTTCATATGCTAGCAAAATTTTGCTCAAAATCCTTCAAGCCAGACTTCAATAATAAGTGAACCGAGAACTTTCAGATGTATAAGCTGGGTTTCAAAGAGGCAGAGGAACCAGAAATCAAATTGCCAATATGTGATGGATCATGGAAAAAGCAAGGGAATTCCAGAAAAAAAATCTGCTTCATAGACTATGCTAAAGCCTTTGGCTGTGTGGATCACAACAAATTGTGGAAATTCTGAAAGAGATGGAAATTCCAGACCATCTTACCTGCCTCCTAGGAAACCTGTATGCAGGTTAGAACTGGACATGGAACAACAGACTGGTTCAAAATTGGGAAAGGATTATGCCAAGGCTGTACATTGTCACCTTGCTTATTTAACTCTATGCAGAGTACATCATGTGAAATACCAGGCTTGATGAATCACAAGATGGAATCAAGATTGCCAAGAGAAAGATCAATATGCAGATGATATGCAGATGATACCGATCTAAAGGCAGAAAGTGAAGAGGAACTAAAAAGCCTGCTGATGAGGGTGAAAGACAGTGAAAAAGCTGGCTTGAAAGTCTACATTAAAAAAAAAATCTACATTCAAAAAAACAGATCATGGCATCCAGTCCCATTACTTCATGGTAAATAGAAGGGGAAACAATGAAAACAGTGACAGATTTTATTTTCTTGGGACTCCAAAAATCACTGTGGACGGTGACTGCAGCCATGAAATTAAAAGACGCTTGCTTGGAAGGAAAGCTGTAACAAAGCCAGATAGTGTATTAAAAAGCAGAGACATCACTTTGTCAACAAAGTCTGTATAGTTAAAGCTATGGTTTTTCCAGTAGTCATGTATGGATATGAGCATTGGACCATGAAGAAGGCTGAGCACTGAAGAATTGATGCTTTCAAACTGTAGTGCTGGGGAAGACTTGAGAGTCTCTTGGACAGCAAGGAGATCAAACCAGTCAATCTTAAAGGAAATCAACACTGAATACCCTTCGAAAGAACTGCTGCTGAAGCTCCAATACTTTGGCCACCTGATGTGAATAGCTGACTCACTGCAAAAGACCCTGATGCTGGGAAAGAGGAAGGCAAAAGGAGAAGGGAGCAGAGGATGAGATGGTCAGACAGCAACACCGACTCAATGGACATGAATTTGAGCAAACTCTGGGAGCAAGTAGAGGACGGGAAAGCCTGGCATGCTGCAGTCCACGGGTCACAAAGAGTCAGATATTATTTAGGAACTGAATAACAACACCTTTCAACTATCAATCTGCCATGGCAAATACCAAATTCTGATTCTGTGTAGCCCCCAAGTATACTCCTAGTGTATCCCAAGGAAGACACGGGGAGGAAAAACTTAAAGTACTTTTTACATAATTCTGTATTAAGTACATGCAGTAGACAAGATACCATTAAGATATGTAACAAGATGAAGACAAAGCAACCCAAACCACCAGCCTGCCCATCTGTAAGACACACTCCATGCATATGTGCTGTCGCTTCAGTCGTGGCCAACTCTGCGACACATTGGCGGGCAGGTTCTTTACCACCAACGCAACCTGGGAAGCCTTCGATGATCTTCAAATAGGCTGGGGGCTAAATTTGTGCAGAGGATCATACGAGTATGTAAGTAAGAAGTGTTTTTTTTTCTTTCCTTTTTGTAGAACAAGAATTTGACAAAGAGAGTGCTAATTAAAGAGAAATATTCCCCAAGTAGTAAATGTCTAAGGAAACTTTAGAGACCATTTTAAAAAAGGGAATTTATTTCCTGGTTACTAAATTAATATGTAGAAATTTGGAATGAAGTTAGTCCAACTCTACTGAAGAACATAAATGTATCACTCATTTCCCAAGACTTTTTTTTTACCAACTGAACCCTTAATGTGCTATTATTACTTTTATGCATAAATTCCAGTCTTCTAAATGATGTAAAATACTTCTGGAAGACGAAAAAATGTCTATTAATGCTACTTAAGACTTCTCTGCAACAAGACCAAATATAGAGGGATATAGGCACATTCAGTGCAAATCTATAAGTATTCAGATTTTGTTTAATCTTCTTAAAGACATTTAATCAAAAGAAATGTAAAATTACTATAAATGAGAAAGATCTTTAGCTTACATAGTATTGAAGAACTTTCTGCCACCAACAGAAACTACAAATACTGAAAAATGGATTTTTTAAAAGTATGGGCTCAGAACCCAATTAAAAACATGAAACAGAACAACATACTACATCATCTTTTGTGGAGATCTATCAAAAAAGAATGTCATCTTCCTTCCCAAAACTTTGACTGTTTTTTTTTTAATTCCTCAAATCTTTACTTCTGTTGGAATATAAAGAGTTTGAACTTTAATACAAGTTAAAAATTTAATATTAAAATTTTAACAATGACCATTCCTAAGTCCTTAAGACAAAATTCCTAACTTTTCCTGTTGTACAGTGTCTTGTAATTGGTAGGTGTTTAATTTCTGTTGGATGTCTATTGATGCATGTTTTATTATAGTAAACTATTTAACAACTAACAATTACCAATTGCATAATATGTGGCAGATATTTTGTGCAATACTTTAATCCTCGTATCACCCTACGAACTGGGTCTGTTATTTTCCTTTTTACAGATGAGGAAACTGAGGTACAAAAAGCTCAGATGATATACCCGAAGTCATAGTTCATTAAGTGATTGAGCCAGCCTCAAATCTAGGTTCCATAATCCAGCTGATCTGACTTCAGAGTCTTTACTCTTAACTGCTACATACTGTTTCTAAAACAACCATGTCTATCCAAATATAAGAACCACCATCAGTAATTTTAGGAAAGGTAAGGCTTCAGGAAGTTACAAGAAATTTCACAGACAGAAGAATGACATCTTATCACCTGCTGCAAGAGCTGTCACGTATTTCTCCTTATTCCTTTTCACTTTTGAACAGAGAACGTGTTCTACCATGCCCATGGCACTAGGAAGGGAAATGCATAATAAAGTCTGCCATCAAAGTTAAAGAACACTGCATCACCTAATGATTTTTTGCTAAGTGTAACAGATACCAGGGAGTACAAAGGAAGAAATACTAACTAGCAAGGAGGGGATATATACATTTTGAACAGATGAAAAGTACTGTGCGAAGTAGTACAACAGAGACCTTCTATATTATGGTATCTTTAAATAAAGTTTAAATAAAGTTAAAATAAACATTTTAAATGCAAACGGTTCGTAAACACTTCTGGTCACAGCCTTATTAAAAACTTAGTGAAATTTTACATATAATTTAAGGAGTTCAAGGATCTCTTTGAAGCTGGTCCTTATACTAACTCCTAAGGAGTCAACAGGAATTCACTGAAAGGTTATGTTAGGAAGTGACAAGTTGGTTTACTAGTTTATCAAGACCAGCTGGACAGAAGTTTGGAGGAAGACTTGGCAGCATGAGGCCAAAAGGAAACTAGAATTTATAATAATCCAGGTAAAAGATAATGGGAAGGAAGGGACAGATGTTAAGGTTCTAACAGTAGAACATAAGAAATAGTAAGGAAATAGAAATGAAAGCATTTAGTTACTGATGGATGATCAAGATTCAGAATCTGAGGTGAGTTCTGACATTATAATTTTGAGATATTTATAAAGTCTTCAGATGAAGACAGGCAGATGACAGCTGAGTTTACTGGACAGGTATGCTCAAGAAATCTAAGCAGAAAGAAGTGTCTTGAGTCACCAAAACGAGACATGAAAATGGATGAATGCCCAAATTAAATCTGCACAGACAGCATACAAAAGGGCTAATTACAGAACCCTGGATTACTCCAACATTTTTAAGTGAGGCAGTGGACAAGAAGAATGGCAGAGAAGAATGGGGAATAAAGTGAAACTACACCCTCAAAAGCCACAAGGGGAGACATTTGCAAAAAAAAAAAAAATGGATCAAGCAAGGAGCAAAGTTACAAGTTACTCTTCAACTTATGAAAATTTCCACAATTGTAGTGAAATATATGGTGCAAAATATGTGAACACCACACACTGATTAGCTATTTTGAGTACCCAGAACCCATTGTGCCTGGTATCAATTACTTTTTACTTAGCCAAGACACCTTTTTCTTTCCCTATTGTCCCAAAGACTGTTATAAAACTTTGCCAACCTCTTAGTTAAGAGATATCCTGAACCCTCATATTAAGAAATTAGGTATGAGTGACTCCTTAGCATTTATCTTTATCTTCATTTATCTTATTCCTCTTGGCTCAGGATGGAGTACTGGTAGCTTTCCAAGCTAAACCATCCCAATTCCTCCAAGATTTCAATTAATATTCTATTCATAAATTTCAAAATCAACTAACATGCTAAGTCTAATGATCTCTTTCAGTCTTATCTATTTGATTCCACTGCACTAAATGATATTATTAACCACAGACTCTATCTAAAAATTTATATTATTCATTTCCATGATGGTACTCTCTCCCAGTTACCACGCCCCACCCCCCCAACCTTCTTTAGTTTCCCTGAAATACCAGTATTCCTCACAGAGGCTCTAAAGTGACCAAATTTTCAATATTACATTTTATGCATAGACAATCTACAGAATATTCCAAATTTATATGTATGAATGTAAATCTCGTATCCCCAAATGTAATATCCAGAACTGTTCTGGATTTCTAAGAGCTATTATTTCCAATTCTGTATTCAAAAGGTCTACCTCAATAGTCACCTGAAATCAAACATGACTAAAACCAAAATTATCTACTCCCTTAAACCCACATCCTCTTCTCATGGTCTCTATCTTGGATAAAACTTGGGAGTCATCCTCAGTGCTCCCCTATTCCTTGGCCACTTGGCTTTTCTGCAACAAAAACCTTTATAGAATGTGTCCCCTTTGTTACTAAAGCCTGTGACCTTAATTTTGGCCTCCTGGGCACACTCTTATACAAAATACTGACCTCTCAAGTGGCCTTCCTGACCTCAAGTCTTTTCTTCCTCTCATCTTTCCTCAGTTTAATTATGTCTAATTAGTCTTTCCTCCACTCAGTCTTCAGTAGTTTTCTATTGCCTACATAATGTCATCAAAATTGCTAAGCACTGACTTTCAAGTACACTGACACAGACTTCAGAGTAAATCAAGACTTAGTTAAAAATCCATCATGTATTCTTACTATGTTGACCTAGAACAGTGTTTTCCCAAACTTCTCCAAAGATAAGAATTAGCTGGTCTGCTATCTCTTGGAAATTTGGACTCATCTGTGTTAGAGTCTAAAAATCTGTTTTTAGTAAGTGCCCTAGCAGATAATTCTGAGAAATCTGGTAAACAATGACACAGGGAAAATGAGTTTTATCTAATTCTGTTTCCTCATCAGTAAATAAGGCTACTATAATCTTGTGATTGAGTTCAATAATCCAAGTAAAACATCAAGTAAGCATCAGGCAACAAGTAAGTATAAATAAACATACTCATTCCCTTTACTAACTGTGAAGTCTCTATTTCCCATTGACCTTCACACATAGGATTGTTCCCTGACTCCAAGATGCTTGACTATTTAGGCAGCTGTGCCCTTCCCCATTTCCTTGGCTTGCAAAATAATTCCTAATTTTCTCAGATTGTTAAAATTCTATTCATTCTTTAAGACCAAACCAAGAGTTCCCCTGTTCACTCTGAACTCTTCAGATGGAATAAATTCTCTCAGTTCTGAAAGTGTTTTACTGGTGTCTCAATATAGTATTTCTTCCACTGTATTAATTATATATGTGTCTTACTTACTAGACTACAGTCTAATTCCTTGATGGCAGAGATAGTCTGATGGTCAGACTATCTGACCTACAGGATTAAAAAATATACTGAAGTATACAGACAGACAGATAACATGTAAACAGGGTTAAATTAAAATTATATTTGTCCCAATTTTAAAGAAAAATGCTTACTGGTTTCATTTGTCTTTTATTAAAATTCTCAACACTGAAAATATCGTAATACTTTTAATCAGAGTATATAATCAAAGCATCATACTGGAAAAGTAGGTAACAATAGTTACATGTCAAACGGGGAGAACATATGAAATAGTATCTATAAGAGTTACTCTTTGGTCCAGTATTTTAACTACTGTAATCACCAAAACTGTCAACTTGGAAGATGGAAATATGATGTTCATTGTGTAAAAAAGTTTCATCAATAACAGACTAAAGTTCAATATGGCCAAGATAGACGTAGTGTTAACATTTTAAAGCATATTTCAGAAAGAGAAACTGATAGGAAAATAGAACTAGTAAAACTGGGGACTAGAGTGGGTCCAATAAGAATTAAAATGCAATGATGTACTTTTTAAAAAAATAAATTAACTTTGGTTATTTAAATAAATTACTATGTAAAGAATAAGTAGAACCTAGAAGACCTGGAGATCTTTTCAGTTTTATAGCCTTCTATGTGCAAATTTCTCTGTCTTCAGTTTCACTTTTATAGGGATTATTCCCTATGAAGAGATTTTTTTTTTTGGAAGCCTATATTAATAGTAATTAAATGTGAATAAACTTGTCAATTCAATTAAATATCTAAAAGTCAATATAAAACATTCATTTTTTTTTATTAAAACTAACTGATACTTGATTTATTACATTTTATACTAGTCATTTAACTTGTTGCAGCTTTGTAAAAACCATGATGCCATACTTACATTTCTATTACAGACCCCACAGATGCCTGCCACAAAAATAAAATCTCATCTTCATGAGTAATCAGCCAGTTTGCATTATTTTCTCCTCCATTGCTGTATCATCCTGTGCTGCAAAAGAAAAATTTCAAAATCAACTTCTCAACAAAATTAGTCAATTATGTATGACTCTCATTTAACAAAATTCAGTGGCAAATTTTATCTCAAAACTGGAAAAATTTCAAGACAAGGATGCCTGCTTTCCCCACTGCTATTCAACACTTTACTGGAAGTTTTAGCCAGAGAAATCAGATTAGAAAAGATATGAAAGGCATACAAATTGGTGAAGAAAAAGTAAAACCATATCTATTTGCAGAGACAGTAAAATTTTCTCTGTTCTCTATACAGAAAATTCCAGAGAATCCCCAAAAAAGCTGTTAACCGTAAAACAAATTTAGCATAGGTGCACTTTGTAAGTTCAATGCACAAAAAGTCAGTTCTGTTTCTGTATCAACAATTCAAACAAGAAATCAAGAAAGCATTCTCACTTATAATAGCGTCTGAAGGAATTAAATACCTTAACCAAGGAGATGAAAGACTTACACACTGAAAAACAAGCACTGCTTAAAGAGATTAAGAGTAAATAACGGAAACACAACTGGCGTTCACAGCCTGGAAGACTATGAAGATGACAGAGCTATCCAAAGTGATCCAGAGAGTCAACATAATTCTTAGCAAAATCCTCAGTTTTTTTTCCCCCCAGAAATGAAGAAACTCTTCCTCCAATTCATATGGAATTGAAAGGGGCCCCAAATAGCCAACACAATTTTGAAAAGGAACAAAGATGGTGAATTCACACTTATAGATTTCAAAACTTATTACAAAACTACAGTAATATAACTGTGGTTTTGGCATAAGAATAGACAAATACACCAACAAAAGAGAGAGTGCAGAAATAACCATCTCTATGGCCAACTGATTATATTTTACAAAAAAAAAAAAAAAAAGAATTTTTTTAAGTGAAACAAGTTCTATATGGACATGATATGTATTTCACAGCCTCTGCCTTCCTATATAAGGTAATGTGTGGGAAGGCAAGGTCATCACATTACCTAGGACCTCTAGGTAATGAGGTCCTCCTATATGAATGTCCCAGTTTACAAACCATTAAGTCAACCTTCTGAAGATGCCTGCTGTCCAGGAAATCCAGAGGCACCAACCAAAACATCATCTCAGTCATTAGTCCTCTTTCTTCACAGTTAGTGTTGCCTCCATCCACTTCACGCCCACTACAGGAGGCTCACTTACTGCAAAGAACATACATGATGATGACAGAGACAGGCTTTACAGTAACAAGACAGAAGAGACAATTATTCTTTCAGTTCCATGCACCTCTTATAGTGTGGGAATCTATCTCCCTAAAAAACTCGGAATTTTAGTGTTTAAGATTTTTTAGATATATGCCCTTTTAAGATAAGCCAGCATATCTCACCAAATATTTAACAGAACAGACCAAACAATATGTAACCTGTCTCAAAGCTGAAGACTTTTCAAAATAAGTGACTAGAAAGGGTTTGTAAACAACCTGACTTTCTATTTTACTCTGACTTTAGAACTTAGTTTTTCCATGACAAGGACTCCACTGTCCTGACTTCCCTCCACAACCTGTTCACTTTACTCTCTAAGTGCCTACAACTTCAATGGCACCAAAAAGGACTCCATCATTCACTTCCCTCCTATAGTCTACTCAAAATATTAGAAACCGCCCACTTTCACACATAGGACAATAGGAAACATTCTACTATTCTAACATCATTACTCTTAAACACAAACAAAACCCCACTTAATTCTTCTAAGTCTCTAACCATTGGCTGTAATCCCCTAAAGCTATTCTCTTAACCCTTAAGATACTGACAGTCTACTCACTACTGGTCATCCAATTCATTATAATTCCTGACACCTGACTGTGAACTTATTAACTATCCTTAAGAATAAACCATTCAGGGCCCAAGGGCTGCGGACGGCGGCCTAGGAGGCCAGCAGAAATTGGAAATGGGGAATCCATTGTGAAAAAGATGTGAGCTCTGGAGTTGGACGTGGAGATCGAATGGCCTTCAACTCTGAAGAGTTTGGGTTGAAATCCAACCCCACTCCTTACTGGTCCAAAGCCACATACCTGGTTCATCACATAGCCCTTCTAAGCGCTATTCCTCAACTGTAAACTGGGATGAAACCTATCATAGTACTTAAGATTTCACGTATTTTTGCTGAACTTGTTAAAAAAAAAAAAGTGCTTGGGATGATGGATTAACAGGAACATTGAAATTCTGTGAAAAGTTTCAAATTGGAGCATATTGAATTTTCACCCTAGTCCAGCAGCTGTGCTGCTCACTTAAATACAGATGAATGAAGACCCCATTCGGAAGGACACCTGGCCAGCGGTCCAGAGCTGATGCAGGCCATGCTGGTGTATCTGCAAGCATGATGAAGAAAAGGACATCCCACAAAAAACATCGGAGCAGTGTGGGACCAAGCAAGCCTGTTTCCCAGCCTCGGCAGAACATCGTAGGCTGCAGGATTCAGTATAGGTGGAAAGAGGGGAATGGCCCTGTCACCCAGTGGAAAGGAACCGTTCTGGACCAGGTGCCTGTAAACCCTTTTTTGTATCTTATAAAATACGATGGATTTGACTGTGTTTATGGACTAGAACTTAATAAAGATGAAAGAGTTTCTGCGCTTGAAGTCCTCCCTGATAGAGTTGCAACATCTCGAATCAGTGATGCACACCTAGCCGACACAATGATTGGCAAAGCAGTGGAGCACATGTTTGAGACAGAGGACGGCTCTAAAGACGAGTGGAGGGGAATGGTCTTAGCACGCGCCCCTATCATAAACACATGGTTTTACATCTCCTACGGGAAAGATCCTGTCTTATACATGTACCAGCTCTTAGATGGTTATAAAGAAGGCGACTTTCGCATTATGCCCGATTCTAAATTGTTTTGGCTGTTCTTTGCAATTTCATACAAATTTTAGAATCAGCTTGTTGGTTTCTGCAAAGAAGTCAGCCGAGATTGTGTCAGATGATTCACCTCCAGCAGAAAGGGAACCGGGAGAAGTTGTGGACAGCCTGGTGGGCAAACAAGTGGAATATGCCGAAGAAGATGGCTCTAAAAGGACTGGCATGGTCATTCATCAAGTAGAAGCCAAACCGTCTATTTCATCAAGTTTGATGATGATTTCCATATTTATGTCTACGATTTGGTGAAAACATCCTAGATGTCATCACGAACTTTACCAATTGTGGAACTATTAAATGTATAATTTGTAGGGGGAAAAAAAAAAAAAGAATAAACTATTCAACACCTAACTCAGAGGTTCTCAAACATCCCCACAGAGACTGCTTGTTAGAAACACACATCCTCAGACTCTAACCCAAGATACTGTAAGGCCAGTAGACATGGGTTTCAGCCCAGGAATCTCACCTCAAGTGATGCTGATGCAGGCAGTACATCACATACAATGTGAGAAACACTGTCCTTATTTTTCAATTCCTAAATACAATAAACTTCACCCTCTGCTCCAACAAAATATGATGGCCACGTTTGGAACTAGATGCCACCTAAAACTGCTGCCTCTCTAAAATCTTAAACTCACTCTCAGACCACAAGCTCTGGTTCTTCCAGCTCACTTACTCCTTCATTCTCACACCTGCTCTTTAATTCCAAGTGCCTCTTCAGTCTCTTGCCCACCTCCTTTCCTTTCTCCAATAGCTGACCCCATTTCCTTTTCTGCCCAATCTGGAGTCCAACCATTTTAACTTCTTGAGAGAATGCTTGGCTCTCTCACATCTGTCTCTACACATACTCTACACACCCCCACCTCTGCATGTATCTTACAACGTGACAGCTCAGCTTCTGTGCCTTAACCAATGAGTGCCAATGGAGAAATACAAAATTATTTTTCTCACTCCCCTTTCAACATGTTACATCAAGTTGCCAACTTTTAGCCCTAACACCTTTGGAATCTATCCTCCATTCTCTTGCCATTGCTAGTGCCCTAGTTCAGACTTTTACCATCACTGGACTACTGCTCCATCTGATTATTCTGCTTCAGTATCATCCCTTAAATTAAGTCTCCGAATGTGATACACTAAAAAAGAAAAATGAACCCTCCATACGTGAAGCCCTATATGGGCTCTCCATCCTATACAATAAAGTAAAGCTCCTCAGACAATATTCAACAGCTTTAAAGACCTGAAACCTAAGTAAGTCTCAAGTCTTATTTATCTCCCACAACCACTCTCATAGATGAACACTCTAGTTACAGCAAATTACTCAGTTCTCCAAACTTTCCTTTGTAATTCTGTATTTCCTCCTACCTGTATAGTCTTTCTTTTAAGGTTTATGAATGCTACTGCCTTTCTCTGACTGCCTTTGGAAAAGCTGTTCCTTCCCCTATGGTTTGTAATTCTTCTACTGCTGAATTTATCATATGCATTGCAATTATCTGTTTGCTTCTGACTCTTCCAGTAAACCATGAGACCCCTGAGATAAGGATTACTTATATTTCTAAGTGACTAGTCAACTGCCAATCAGTTGTTGCTGTCTTGAGCTGGTATTTCTTGGATGAATGAAAAACTAAATTCATTTAATCACCTAACACAATATTTACATTCTGTGAACAGGCACCCAGCCACAAAAGCTATAAAGGTATACAACTTTCAATTTTTTCTTTAAACAACTTAAAATCCAACAGAGGGAGTTACCACATTTACAAATATAAAATTGATGCCATCTTTATATCTTTTGACAAGTATATAATTTACCCAGCTATTATTCACTGGCAGTGAATTCTCCAGAATGCAGACAAAAATCCAGGAATAAAACAGATTTTAGTAAATCTTGTCAGCTACAGGGACCTTTCCAATCACTATCTCCCATGGCTAAAATTTCAAAGCTGGCTGTAAATGGATAATAGCTGAGGGGAGAAAAGTGAACTAAAACCTATATAGTAATCTAGACTTCCATACATGACAACTGTGGTCCTCAACCAGCATTATCAGTATTACCTCAAAGTTCTTTACAAATATCCAAAGCCCCACTCTCTACCAAGAGAATCAGATCTCCAGG